CACACCTGGTCTCCGAGCCCTGGTCCTCGCTGGGGCCGCTTCGCCCCACAGAGGATGTTGACAATGGAGACATTCTGCATGTCACACTAGGGGTGTGTGTGCTATTGGCGCTCGGGGATAAACACCCTGCAGGGCACGGCAGCCCCTAAAACAAGAAGCGTCCCATCCAAAATGCTCAGAGCACCAGGATCGTGCCGCCCGGTCTCCCGAGCATCTATCAGATGATGCTTTTGTGAAAGGTCTGAACAGAGTCCTGTGTGTGCCCTGCGAGCCTGCGGACAGGGCTTGCTTGGCCCAGAATGTGCCCTCGCTCGTCTCTCTGTTGGTCGGACTGTGTAGAAAAGAACAGCCCTGCCTCTCTGCACCCCGAGACGTGTCCGTTCGTTCCTCTTGAGTGTGCCTCCGACGGTGGCTGCCCTGTCCAAATCGTGGCAGCCTCTGTCATTGGCAGCTTCGTCGTGGGAGGAAGCTTCTCTTTCGCTTATAAATCATCACCTTATACGGGGACGTTTTTACTTCCTTTTAGAAACAAGAGCAACTGCGTGATTTCCATGCAAGGGGAAGTGTGGGCATCACAAGTTTTTCCCCTCGTCCAGCGTGAGAGTCAGGGTTCACCAGCATCATACAAGGAGTGAAGCCTCCTCAGCTTTCCCTCCGGCCTCCGCCCTCATCTCAGCCCCCCTGGGTGAGACAATGCACGAGAGCGGCCCGGTGGGGAGGGACCACAACCACGCCCCAGCCCACCTGCTGGCGGGAGGCCGGGGCCTGACAACATTGGCAGGAGCCTCTGCCCCGCAGGGCGCACACCTGGGGTGCAGGTACTGGGCCGCTGCCCGGCGGGAAGAAAACGGGCACTTCTGTCCATAGTTCTTTTTTTACCCTTTAAAATTGTCCGCTCCGTTTATACTGCACGATACGCGCAGTTGTGTAGTTACTGTGTGTATGATGTCAGCCCGGTACTGGGCATCTGTGCTTTACCTCTGGGCCCTGGTGGCCGCGTCACCCAGAGTCTGGAGCCACTGCGGGCCGAGGGCACAAGAGACGCGAGCCAAGCTTGCAGGTCGCATGTGCCCTCGGCTCTGCTATCTGCTCCGTCTTTGGACTGGCACTGGTATCACTTTTAACATGTTTTTTATGCCCAGCGCACTGGGCACCGTGACCATGCCTGATAAGCCCTTCCCGGCGATGGCGGCCATGCATCTTGCCGTTTCTCTTGAGTGTCATTTGGGGGTCACCCTTTTCTCTCTGTTCTTCTCCGTGATGCTTCTAGTAGTTCTTTCTTTCATGCTCTACACATGAACATGTTTGAAAAACGTGAAATCTTTGCGAAAGAGGGTTTTTTTTGTTTTTTGGGTCGTTTGTGTATATGTCTAAAATTATATATCGAATATGGAATGCTTCTGCTCAGCTAAAAGCTCTACCCTCTTACCAAGTTGCAAACTTTCCTCTGTATGCCTCCCGGCTGTTTCATAACTCCTCTGAAACGCTCTGCCTCTCTTGGGGCCTAATCAATGTTTCATATCAATTAAGCTGCTCAGAACAAGAGGCTTAGCACAGCTCACCGTCTTGACAACAGACCCTTTGTTAGAGAAAACAACTTGAAAGGAAGACATCAGACCTCCTCTGATGAAATATCATTAAAATACTCCTTTCAATGAAAAAAAGAATTTATAACAGGCAGGCAGAGTTCACATAATCAAGTTATGAGTCGAGCCACAAAATTCCATGCCCACCGCCACCCAAATAGACCCTGGATTTGATTGCTGGTAAATTCACTGGGTTAAAATTCTTTTTTCCAAGAATTCTCCACTGTATTTATTATAAAGTAAGCTCCAGGTCGTAGTTGCAAGTGCAGGAGTGGGTGTGTGGCGTCTGTGGCTGGGCTGCTCGTGGAAGGCAGGCATTTCTCCGAGGGGGCCATCTGGTTGGTTGGTGGGGGCAGCGCAGGAGGCGTCAGTTGAAAACATTTATTGAATTTCCAGAAGTGTCTCGCTCCGCTCCCCTTTCGCCGTGACGCGAGGCTTTGTGTTGGGAAGAGTCACCTTTATGACCCAGGTGCAATTCCCGTGGGCATCTTCACGTAAATCTGAGTAAATGGAGAGCTGAAGTCGCCAGGGAGAAAGTGGAGGCAAACGCACGGAAGTTCAAGCGCTAGGACAGATCGTGCCAACGGCGTCACCGGCGCCCACCGCCCTGGGCTCACTGCCGACCGCCTCTTCGGTTTGCACGTTGGAAGCACAGGTGCTAACAGAGATAAATTTCTGGGTAGAGGATCTCCTTCGATATCTCTTAAAACATGTCTCTTCCACACTAAGTTAGATTCGCTTTTAAAATTTAAATTCGCCAGCGATAAGGTTTGGATCCGTGTGAAGCTGCTTCTCTTCCCCGTGCCCACGGTCTTTCCAGAGAAGGCTGGTGGCAGCAGTGGAAACCCCTGTACTCCTCCGGGAGGTCTTCGAGACGCCTGGCTGACATCCTGGCGTGGGGACACAGCTCCCACCAGCTCATGGCCTGAGCGTGGCATTCAGTGTTTTAGGACCCTCGTTGCCTCATCCGTCCGTCCATCCATCCCTCCATCCACCCACCCCCATCCATGTGTCCATCTGTCCATTCCTCCCTCCATTTTCCAAATACTTTTTGAGCACCGACTACGTTTCAGATGCCGCCTTAGGTACCGGGGCCTTCGTAATATAACAAGACAATACTCGTCCCACTCACGCATCCGCTCACATAGCAGGGAGAATTTAGAAGTACTCTCGTTGCTCCTAAGCTTGGTTTCCAGTACAGAAACCCGACCCTATCTCTGACCCCGTTGCGTGCCCCAGTGACCACCCCAGGACCACCACCGCCTAGGAGCAGAAGGGTGGATTCTGTGAGCTTAGCCTACGCAGAGTCTCCAAACACTGCATTCGCAACACGCTTTCGTGAGAGTTAAGTGCCCTTGGAGAAAAGAAATCCCTTAAACAAATGTGTTTGGAACCATTAAAATTTCAGAGGATCAAGCCAGTGTGATAGAAATTTATGGACATGTTGGAACAGAGAATATGGATGTTTAATGGCCAAAATATTCTCCTTGAGCCCCCAGGCTCTACCTGGGCTGATTTAAATACAAGGGAAAATCTGCTTCTCTGTTTACTGCACAGAGTCGAATCTCACCTGGCTAAAATTAGCTTTGAAAGCACTGGGTGTCATGCTGCTGCAGTGAACTTGGTCCCCTGTGACCACACTGGGAGACTCGCTCTCGCTGCTGCTGATTACCTGTGATTATCACCTGACAAGGTTGTCTGGTGGCCGCCATCAAACACCTTCAAATCTAAAGCAGTTCCCTGGCTCTCGAGTCACCCTCTCGATCCTAGATTGTATGCCTCGTCTCTTTGATTTCCTTTCATGCAAGAAATTGAGTCACTCCCGAGTGCATAAACGTGTCTCCCGGCTTGACACGTACATCCGATTCGGGATTCTGACTTTCCGACACGCTCAGACGAGCCCCACATTAATTTGGTGGCAGGAGACTTTCTGTGCTGAGGGGGTAGATGGAGTTTCCACTCCAAAACCATCCTACCAACTCCGGAAAGTCAGGAGCACAGCGTGGAGCTGGCCCCTCCCACCTCTCATCTTCCTTTATTTGCTGATGTCCTCATACCTGTCCTCAGGTGAGGGGCTGGGCTCAGGAGCAGGACCGGTCTTGGGAAAAATTCTCCAGTACCCTCTCCCCGAATCACCCCTTCTGGCATCGTGCTGGTTTCTGAAGTGGCTACGTCAGAAAGGACAAGTGTTGTCATCTTGTCTTTATACTCCATTTCCCCCCGTGCCTGTTATGGTCACCCCCTAAGTATTAACTGAGTCGATAAGTTGTGGATTCGTGATGTTACTAAGAGATACGCAAAGAAACAGAATGTTAGGTGTTGATTGAGCCACTAGAATTTTTCTCGGTTGAAGTAGAATCGATGTACGGAGATAGTTAATAGTTAATCGTTAACCACTATTGAGAGTTTAGGACGGTAGAATAACAAATCTAAGAGGTCGATATGTATTCAGTCATTTAATGATTAAAACAGATCTCTGGGCAGGTTCTATATTATTCTTAGTCACAGATGAGGGAACCGAGGCACAGAGAAACGAAGTCGCCTGAGGCCACTACCCGGCAAGCCCCTCGGCCTTCGGAGACTGGACGGGGCTGTGGGATGTTTCTTCCTCATTTAGTTGAGTTCTGATTCAAGAACTACTACCCTTTAGTAGCTCAGGCCTCACTTTGGGCTAGTGAAATTCTCAAGAATATGCAGCGACCCCTTACACTCTCTTCTGTTGTACATAAATATTAATGGTTAGCAATACAGACTTCAGAAGAGGAGATAGGGTGTTCAGGATTTTAGAAAGTAAAATAGAAACTAAACCTCTTTGCTCTGAAAGTAACAGGAATAAAACAGCATGGCTATTGGTTTCATTTTTGTAATTGTGCTGCCATCTAGTGGCCAAGTGAAAAATAACATGCAAACCGGTTTTGCCGCCTCATTGCATTTTAAGTCTTTAAGTGCTGCCTTAAGAGTAGTTCTAAAAAATCATTCAAATTGCATTCATAATCTGAAAAAATTTAAATCTGATATTCACAGTTATCATTCTTTTTTCTTCTCACTTATTCTTCTTCTGATAAAATAACATATTTTGCTCACGTCCAGAATTCTTTAATATAAACATGAAGACGTTAGAAGAGAAACTAACATCTAATTAATTTTACTTACGTGTGGTCTTCAGCGTGGTTTTGGACCATATGTATTTCCTTTAAACAAATTTTATTTTTGCCAATTTTTATTTGAATAACTGCCATACTGATTTTTCTCACGTATCCCAGCTTGTTTACAGATAATCTCAACTGTATTTATTTAATTATATGAGCAATTATAGGGAGACATTGAAACCGGCAGCCTTGCATGGTCTATGCAGAATACTTCCCCTTCGTCTATGTAAATATTCACTGACTGCAGATAAAAAATATAGGATCGATGATCCTGAAGAGTCATTTGCCATTTCATAAATATATTTATAAAATATATATATTTCCCATTAAAAGGCACCGCAATATAGTTCCACCCTGCAAAGCTAGCAGTGCCCACATCGGGCACATTCTTGGTGACCATGCTCAACTCACGGACTTTCAGGGATGTAGTCACCTGAATCTTATGACACACCTAATTCAAATGAGTTCTTGCCCTATCTCAAAATTTTAAAATATCTTCAATGATCACACTCCGAAGAATGGACAGTGGCTGGTGGGACACATTGTCATCCTGCATCTCCTCCCAGCCACTTCCTCTCTGTGGGCTGTGTGCCTGACATGCAATTGGTTAGAAGCCTGTGCGTGACCAGGAAAACGGCCCCCGTGAGTAAGGACACAAGTGTGGTTTCAGTATCCTAATGGACACTTACCAAACCTCAGCGCTCTGGCCCAGGGAGGAGATGGGAGGAAGTGTCACGCTGGACAACGATTGTGAGTGCTGGCAATGACCCAGCCTGGGACAGGGGGTGGGGACAATGTTCCAGTGAAAAGCCACCACCTGAAGCTAAGGAAATCATTTTCAAAGGAGCTCTGAGTGAGACGAACCAAACTCCAGTGCCTGTTTGCTTCCCGTACCATGTTGCCCGAGGTGAATATTTGTCCTGGGTCATCGTTTACTCACCAAATATGTATTGAGTTAAATTCAGTGCTTGGCAGGGTGCTGGGTGCTAAGGTGAGTGTCAGTGTACAGACGCGCATCGTCCCCTGTAGAGCTCGCAGCCTGGGGACTCAGCTCTCCCTGTCCCTGAAGACATTTCCAGCCTGTCCAGCCTGCGTGCTTCAACAGCCGCCACTGAGCTGGCGCTGCCTCATCCGTCGGCCCCCACGTGGCGTGCGCCGCATCAGCTTGGCAGCAGCCTGGGCACGACCAGTAAGTGCCCGGAGAGAGCCAGCTGTGTGTCGACACTAATGATGGAAGCTCCGCACCTCCTAATTGCAAGGGATTTAATTAACACATCCAGTTCTCACTGACCAGCCTGGTTTTACTTCACCCAAGTGGTGATCTATTAAATTACTCCAGCCTCCCGGGATCTGTCAGGTGACTTCCGGCCTCCCAGGCCCCGCCTGACCCGACACCACTTTAATTTCTCAGGGGAATGAATTTATCGCTGCCATTTTCTAAAGTAAGGTAACGTATTAGCCAGCGAGGTGGCGAGAGACACATCGAAGCCACTAACCGCAAAATTAGACTTCAGGACTAAAGGTAGTCACTGTTTTGAAGGTCTAGGTGGATGGACTTTCGCAGTGTCGGACCCGTGTCATCTCAATGCACATTTAAAAAAATAAGGACATAGAAGCCACAGCCTGACTGGACCCCACGCCCCTCAGGAGCACCCACGGTTCTGGTACGAACCCCAAATCCTAAACCAGCTTTGAGGCGTCTGGAAACACTCTCAAGTTCACGGCCACACATCCCTCTCCAGGCCTGTGACTTCCACAGGAGCCTTAGGCCTCCAGAGAGGAGCAGAGCCCCAGGCGAACTCTGAACTCTGCCCCCGGGGGGTCATCACTACCCCTCCGCTGTAAACACAGACTCACAGAGTTTGCCTTTCAATAAAACACACACACACACTGCTCAGCTTCTCTCATTCGCGTATTTATTGGTTTGCCGCTCAGGCCAGAGGCTGTGCTTGGGACGCAGCCCTCCACCCCTGCCTGGTCTAGAACTGTTAGCTCCGCCCTCAAACTCCACAGATATGGGAGGCAGTTTCTATTTTAACAAGCATGCAAAAACAAAAGAACCAAAGTTAAAAATAAATAGCCCTCCTTCAGGGAAAGACAAATAAGTATTAGGATAAAGTCGACCATCTTTGTGAAGAAGAAGTTAAAATATTGGGTCAGATTTTTTTTAAACCCCTGGTCACATGTGGGTTTTTTTAAAATTTTTTTTTATTGATAATCAGAACCGGTCACCTTTACAGTAGCTAGAATTTTAATGAACAACGAACTTGTTGGTTTTATGTAAAGGTTAAAACACGTCACCTCAATTCTCAGTGTCCAGGGCCATCGTAATCTCTGCTGATGTCCAATTGCTGTATGATCTACACACACCTCTGCTCCTACATAATTACTCATTATTTCTTTAAGCTGGACAACTCATAATATGAAAACAGTAAAACTGAACTTCTGTGAAATTTAGGGTGACAGAAAAATGCCTAAGAGCCATTTTCCAGCATCTCTACTCTACCTGTTTCCTCTTTGAAACCTCGCGGGAAACGCGACTTTTGCAGGAAAGAGCATTTCTACGAAAGCCAGATGCTTTCCCACTGGGCGTCGTCCGCGGTGACCTTGGTTTCGTGGTGAAAGCGCCTCCGGTTCGTTGCGCAATGTGGAAACCGAAACACATGTGGCGAGGAGCGCCACGGGCCGGACCGAGCTCGGGGTGGCGGCTGCGGGGGTGAGGCTGGTGGTGGTAATAGCCAATGCGTGGGTCACAAATGACTAACTTAATGAATGACGAGCTCACGGAGGCAGATGCATGTGCTATGCAATGGGTTAAAACTCCACTTCTGATAATCGAATACTCCCCCTTATCTGTGGGGGTGGCTCATTCTCGGCGCTGGACAGCAGGCTGCGCAGCTTGGCCATCTGCCAGGGCGGGGGACAGGGGTCAGGCGACAGCGGACCGAGTGGACACGGGCCGCGCGTGCGCAGCAGAGTCGGGGCCCGCTGGCCTCTGAAGACCTACCTGGGAGGCCCAGCCCAGAGCACCTGCAGCCCCCTCCTGAGCGACGGGGACCCGCCCTCGGCCCACACCACCTCGCCTGGTTTCGTACAGGGCCGCCCTGCCCCCCGAAAGTCTTTTCTTTTTTTTTAATGACGAAGTTCGTCTGAGAGGTCAGTGTGAACCCTGCGCCATCAGTGCGAATAACACACTTGCTTGGTCTTCATCGGATGCGTTTATGGAATAATTTTTTTTTTTTTTAAGCGCAGAAAGAAATGAGAGTCCTGCTACATTTCAGTTTTTAAGAACTGATTTTTTCAGGGAGAAGAATTTAAGAAATCCTTATCGGTAACGCTGTATGTCTCCATTTAAGGGTGCGTTTGCGTGTTTAGCGTTTCTCCTTAAGAGAATTTCATTCCTCTTTCGAAATATTTATATCAGTGAACCTGGCGGTTAAATCTGACCTTTGGATAAAAACAACCGTATGTACCTGAGTCCACGCCCGGCCGCACTAGGAAAGCGGCTGTGCTGAGTGAGGGGGTCGCTGGCGAACGGACCGCACTGCAGCGGGGCGTTGGCCGCCTGGGCTGTGGGGCTCGGAGCCTGCCACCCGCTTTCACCCGGCGGGGGCGGCAGAGAGGTGCGAGGTGTGGGGCGCAGGCAGCACCGGCTGTGCGATTGATCGCGAGCAGATCACCTACCGTTTCTGGGCCTTGACTCACCTCTAAGAAGCCAGGGGCGGGATACCCCTGACGAGGATGGCGCACCCCTGCCGCTGGCACCCTCCCCAGGCCCGTGTCGACCCCCCGGTCCCCACACCCGTGCTCAGCGCTCGGGGGCCTTGCAAACTCACAAAGACTGACGCATGTCAACCTAAACGCCGAGAGCTTAGCGTGGCAACCACCTTGGACGCCTGGCGCTGACCCCGGCACCTTAGGGAGTCGAGCTTTAGGGAATGGGACGGGCTGTCTGTCCCGAACCAGGGCGGACGACGACAGCTCTGGCGTCTGGGCCCTGCCAGCGCCCACTCAGCCGCCCACGTCCGCC